ACTTTTTCATTCATCACATGACGTAAAATCATTTTTGAAAAAAAAAAAAAAAAAAAAGAAAAAACTTACTCAGGATTGTCAAAGTGTAAGTTTTATGTTTAAGATCGCATCAAATGGATTGTTGTATGATTATTATTTCACAAATTTATAAGTATAAAGTATCGACAATTTCAGTCATACTCTTCACCATATTAAGGACTAATAGACGTTATGGACGACGATTTTTACAAAATCATTAATTATCTTTGATCGGCACCGAATGACAGGAGATTTTAACGTGCAAACTTCTGGCTTCTTTTATTAAAGAAACTGACCTAGTGGCAATGGGCGCTTGTCCTTGACCCAGAGACAGGGTCATAAAGTGGTTAGTCATTTCCTGGCTGTCGACTAATTGCATCAGGGCGCTGGTAGGATCCACGCCGGGCGAGAGGACGAATATCAGAGGAGTCTGTGCCACGGAATCATCGAGCACTGCCTTTAGGTCGAGTACCGGTGGCTCGACAAACCTTTGACCGAGATTCAACACGATGAAGTTGGCGATACAGAAGGAAATCCTGTCAGGACGACAGCTACGTATCACAAGCATCTTTTGAAACACGTTCAAGTTCGTTTCCCACTCTGCTATTAGCGGTGTGTTCTCTGGCTCCGTGTTGACGTACCTAAAATTTTGACCATAATATTGTAGATATCGTTGCCCCATTGTTTCGTAAAAATAATGCAGGAGCAGTTATTGCACGTCGAGTTTATGAAACTAAGCTCAGATGATCTGCACGCTATGTGCAATACGTATAAAATAATATTATAAAATATTAAGAGAGAGATGGAGAAACGGGAGTGGCATATTGAGAGAAAATGTGAATCATATATAGATCTGAAGAAGTTTAATGAAAAAGGATTGAATAAACAGAGACTGATAGAAGCTCAGTTTAATTAAGTTTAATTAAGTTTCAAATATATATGTTGATCATTTAGCTTTCAAATCCTACAATAATAAACTTTGGAATTCCTTGAAAATACGGATTTCGCGTGTAGCCAACTATTGCAACTTGACTTTTTTATTAATAAAATTTTGGTGTCACCATTTGTTCGAAAACACACCAATTATTCCAATCTCGTGGGAATTGCTCGAAGGAAGCAACGAGTCCGTGAAATCCAGCCAGCTTATCCAGCTCCGTGATATTATCCCAAGTTTCATCGGGTAACCAGGCAACCGGTTTATCTGGCTGATTTTCCCTATCCAAAACGATCCCGCCGCGAAGTAAGAAAGCGTACTCGCTGTGAATCACTTTTTCTTGGGCGTCCAGGATTTTCATGCACATGTTAAAGGAAAAGAGCAGCTTGTGTTGTTCGAACAGTCCTCGACATGTATTCCTAATTCAACAGGAATAAATAATAGTTGTCTTTTTAACGACATAACACACCGTGGAAAGAATATAATCAACGTGTAATAGGATCAATTCTAGACATCGAAATGAGTTCGCGTAGTGCAAAGTGTCGTTCGAGGTTTTGTTTTTCACGTAATTTGAATTTAAATTTCAAGCAATCTTGTTTGCAAGGTAAAAACATACTGTGATTCTTTGTCTTTACATTTTATGTTTGTCACTGTGATACGACAGCCAAATTTATACTCTACGCTGTTTATTTCGAGTTCGTTGCTGTTGCTTTTAAATTTAGATCTGAATTTCAGCCAGTTTTATGCTGAAAATTATTGACGAACCTTTCTCTTTATGCTGTGTAATTGTCATACTGATGTAGCAAATCGAAATCCGTTTGTATGTGCTTTCTAGTTTATGGATCTTATTACAGAATCAAATTAAATTACTTGTGATATGAGAAATAGGCCATAAATGACACTTTTATATGTGGACACTTTGCACTACGACGTCTATAATCGATTCTATCATATATTGTGAAGAGCATTACTGCATCGATAAGAATGAAAAATCGTCGATAATTTAAAGTGACTATAACTTCGTAGGAAAGCATCATATAACGATATATTTCGTCTCTATTTTCACAATCGTGAATTTGTTCTTTCCAAAGATTCACTTTACATCATGTAGCCGATGGGAAAGTAAGAATACTTTTTCCTTGAAAATTGTAAAAACCTTGAAAAATTTTTTTCCGCGAGTAGATCCATCGTCATTCTGAAGATTTAAAATTTCCTCTTTTACAACGAATCTCGTTGCATGATTTTTTTCACATCATTTTTTATCGAACTTGGAACATTGGGGTCGTCAGATGACGAAATGTTAGGATTTCTCGAATTTTCGTCGTTTAATTCTTTTTATTCAAAGTTCGATAGAATAGAAAAAAAAAAAGAAGAATTTGCAAATATTATTAAACGCTACGTAATGGCCAAGTAAATCTTTTTTTTTACAACAGTTACATCAGTTTAATTTTAAATTTTTCATTGCTACTGAAGCACAGTTGTGCTCGTCGTTTCTGTATTTTGCAATCATCGTCTTGTATCCACGTACTTGTAGAACGCGTAAGTGTGGTACTCGTTCAAATTCTCGATCCTTTCGGAGAGCTTTGCACTTCTGCTGCTCTTCTCGATCGACAGCATAAACAAGGTAATGTATGCGTCCAGCGCGAATTGGTACATCGGATCGATAAGGCTCGTGTCGTTCAGCACGAAGAAGAGGATCGCGGCACGGTGTGCACACGGCCTGTATTCCTCTCGGGCGAGATCTATCTCCTTCTCTGTTTGTTCAGAGACTATCAACGATTCCTCGATAGAGGTCGAGGTCGCCTTTGACGATTGCAGCGTGCTCAGTAAATCCAGGTCGTCCAGCAAAGTGTCTCCGGCTACGTTCAGCAGGCTGTATGAAATCATCAGACGCACAAACATCATTACGCTTGCTTAGCTTTCCTTAGCGCAAGTTGCGAAATCTATTTGCATCTTCTCGATAAATACATTGTGCAAAAGATCGTGTATAACAATTTATGGGTATTGATTGTTGATATTTTTTAATCGATCGTGGCGTATTTTGTACTTTATTGAATGTTCGAATGTTGTAATTATCAGGCTGATGTCGTGGAAGATCAATCCAATCACGACTGAATATTGTCGTTATATGCGATTACGAAGATTACAAAGGATAAAATCGTTACAGTTCGATTTATCTATCTTCTTGGACAATTGCGAACGATATTATATTCATATGCAAAGATCGATATAATGATATTAATAACGCGAATATAATTCCAAATCGTTATTCGTATAGATTTTAACATAGATTCCCCCTGCATACTTTGATTTCTGAATACTTTTAAATATTAAAGTGAATTAAAGATTGATAGAATACAATTTTAACTCATCAATATAGAATTTGATATAGGTTTCTCTGAATATTTTTATCAAGTGATATCATACATTTACACGCATAAATTGTTACTAGAATATACTTTCAAGTCACGAATATAGATTCGAATGTATAGGTTTCTTTTCGATACTTTTAAGCATCTCTGAATACTTTTAAATGGCATCGTATATATTTGGCATGCAAAGATACTAGAATATACTCTATATAAAGTCATAAATATAAATTTGAATATAGAGTATAATATACTTTTTTTCTTTTGTTTCATATACTTCTCTATGTATCTCAAAGATTGACACTGGAATATAATTTTAAAATGATTTGAAATCAGCATGGAATTTTTAATATAAGTTTCAAGACGTTTCTTCAACTACAGTACGACCTCTGAACCTTCGCGGGGTTAACTCTCGCGTTACGTGCGCTTTATCTCCGGTCGTGTTATTATCATGTTACAGAGGAAGAAGATCGGTGGAAGCAAAGGATATCTTACTAGAGTATTTTGTCCTCGAGTTCTTTGAGAGTTCGTTTATTGGACGCGATCGTGAAGACCAGATTGTCCTTCTGTTCTTCGAGCTGCGGCTTCTCTTTTCTGACCACGATTCCCAAGAGCTGGTCTTCCAGTCCTGCGCACAGGATAATAAGGTTCCAGAGTTTGTGTCCCTCCTTCTACGCCTCTTTCTCTAACGTCCTCTCGATCTAGCCCGAGAGACACTCTTCCACCCTTCTCTCTTTCGCTCTCTATCATCCACGCTTTTCCCACCGACGCACGATAAGACAATTAGTTACCCTGTTCCTTAATGGCGAAGTTGCATAACGTCGTTTTAGTGGATATCTCCGGGGCGTAATGGGGGTTCGCGAGTTTCGTCGTGATGAACAGCCGGAACTTGTCGTGGTAGCTGATCATCTTTTCGTTGAACTTGATCATCAGTTGGTTCTCTACGCAATCAGAGGACACGTACTGTAGCTGCAGCAGGGCGATAATCAAAGCGGGGAATTAAAAGTTCACGCGGAGTTTCGATTATTCGGATACAATTCGGAAAGACTTTTCAGCCTCCCCTTTCAACTCGAAACTGGGTCTTTCTGGTTTTTTCTTTTTTCTTTTTCTTTTTTTTTTGAGAGTGTGCGTAGTACAAAATTGTTATTAATGAATTTTAGGCAGTTCCACATTTTTGCGAACGTAATTGAAAGAAGAGAATATAAAGGGATAGACAAAGGGATTGTTCAGAGAGTAAACCATATAAATTAAAAATCTTAGGAAATATGAAGCAATGGGAAGTAATGAATGAATATCTACGTGTTTAAACCATAATTTAGTTATTACAATATAGAAATTTAATTGTATGAATAATTTATTATATTAATGTATTATTACTATTAATGTATTAACTTATTATATTAATGTATTGAATAGATTAAATTAAATTATATATTTAATATGTTATTTTAAATATATAATGTATTTATTTAATTTAATATAAATTTAATACGTACATATATACATATTATATATTAAATTAGAGGGAGAGATTATAGTGTAAGTAAATAACTACATACGAGAATATTAATTTTTAAATTAACATTCTAAATTTAATATTTATTTTACTCTCCAAATCTCTAAATATTAAGATGCCAGAATATTAGAATTAGAGCAAGGTAATATTGCTTTCGACGTCTTATACGTACCAATTTTCACTAAAGCTCGTTCCAGAATGGGATTCAGTACTGGATCGATCATTTCACCGATATTTTCTAGTAGAACTGGTTTACCATATTGGATCGCGTTTTCCAATACTTTGACGAAGTCCGGTTGACCAAAATCGATCACTTTTAAGTTCTGAAATCGTTGAAAGATTCGAAAGACAGATTTTTTTTTTTCTTTCTTAATTAAGATTCTTTGCCAATTTTAACGCGTTATTTTAATTAAGATTCCTTTATATTATATATTATTTCTTTATCAGAGTAGATTGCATACGTTCTTGGCTTCCATATTCTTGATCCATTTCACTCCTTGGCATTGCGGATCGATTACCAGTGGCCATCTGGTTCCTCTGGTCACGATGATACCGTTCTCAGTACTGAAATCATCGGATGGCAATCCCTGCATGTTCCAGTCCCTGATGACTGCAGGGTCAGCTAGGAATTCCTTTACGTCTAGCTGCGGTGACGTTGGAATTTCTTTTTCTCGAACCTTTGAATTTGTTCATTGTACCATTGTAAATTAAGGATAGGATTTCGATTTCTTATCGTTTCGTAAGAAATTTGATGCAAAAATCTGACGAAAATGAACAAACATCGAATGAGAGTTCAAACAAAATCATCGTGCATCATCAATTATTCCGATTTAATCTACATGTTCATATATTCGTTTCGTGTTATGTTTTCCAACACGATGTTTCCTTTTTATTTATGATCTAGATCAAACATGTCGATTGAAACTTCGTTACATTTCTGTTACCATAAATTCCAGCTAAAAAAATGAATCAGAAGAATAACGGACAATGTAAAACACTGCTATCGCCGTGATTATATATCATCAACTATTCTAATTTAACCTCCATGTTCCTATATATTCTTTTCCAAAACGACGTTACTCTGCTTTTATTTAGGATCTAGAGTAAACATTTAAAGCAATTAAAATTTCTATTACTGTAAATTTTTATTCTCATTTCTTATTTCTACTTTTGAAGGAAATGGTCACCGAATCAGAAGAATAATGGACAATGTAAAACACAGCTGTCAGTAAGACGGAATTCCGGAGAAACAAAGACCTAAATTAACTTGTTGTTAGTAAAAAAAAAAAAGAAAAAGAAAACGAACTATGAACAGTAATGCTGACCACATCACGAGATCATCTGTAATTGAATTGAAACGAACGAGAAAGTTTGCCAACATCCGCGAATTACGACAATTGCCATCGGCAAAAAAAAGGCCATCGAATCGGTTAACTCACCTCCTTCATCCAGATGCTTATCAGCTTCTCTCTATAATTGGATACGAACGGGCCCAAATAGGACACAAAGGCGGTGGATATTAGGCAATCACCTGGCAGCCAGTCGAAGAACCCGCCGAGCGAACCGACCGTGTTCTCCCATCGAATTCGCTCGTCTGAGAGGCCGTCGACCAGCATCGCGGCCCGCTCCAGTTTCAGCTTCAATAGTTCCGCCTGAAAACACGTGGAACTGAAAGTAGAATCGAGTCAGCATAGTTGAAATTTAGTCGCTGGTTTCGTTCGCGAAATAAGACCACCCAGATCGGCTGAATCGTTCGCGTACAGATCTTATCGATTTCGGCTTGTAACGCGAACTTCTGGCTGGCAGCGCTGGCTAGATTATTCATTCGCGTGAGATTATTTCCCCGGGAAATGTGTTTAGAGTAGAAAAAAATTGTACAAAGGCGGAATTGAATTTCGTAAGCGAATTCAAAACACGAAGCTTCGAACGAATATATATAGCAACAAAGATGAGGCTTTGATCTTGACAGTCGAGGAAAAGACAAGGATGAAAAGTACTAGGCGAGATTTCGGAAGAAATTGAACGAGATTTGTGACAAAATGTTAACCAACTGTAACGTCAAAAGTATTAGGTGATTTCGATTGAAATCAAATAAATGAAAGAGTACTGCGAAAGAAAAGGATGGAGTTGAAAACTTAAGTGCTTAAACTAATATATTAACCAAGAAATCACACACACAGAGCATCAAATCCAAAGTAAAAGTGAAGGTTAAAGCAAACACACAGTTTTCGGTCGCGACAGAACCGGAAGTTACACGCCACAAGCGTATCAAAAAAGATTGCAAGCCGCGAAAGAGCGGCAAATATATAAGACAAACATCGGCGGAGGGACCATTTCGCGCGACGACGGCAAAGTAATTTGAAAATTCGCGCTGGATGCAGTCCGTGCAAATACGGCGACGCTGATGATATCCTCTAGTCTTTAAATAGCGAGCAAACGAAACTTTCTACCAAAGCGTAAATCTGTGCAAATAGAAGTATGTGGAACGTGGCCGGGGTCACTAAACGTTCGTGCAGTTTCATTTTCCAGGGGCGGAGGTTACAAATTGAGAGAGATCACTCACCAGCTTAATTAATTCTTCTTTCTCTTTCATCTTCGCGTCGTACATCTCCTGCAGCTTCTGCAGCTTCTCGTGCAACTTCTGTAGCTGTTGCAACGCCTCCTTCAGCGCTTGTTCCTTCTCTTTGAGTGATTTCAACGCGGCCTGTAATTTTTCCCTCTTCGGCGCCACGATCCTGCGAGTCAGGTCAATGGCGAAGTCTTACGATTAGCCCTCATCTCGCAGTTTCTTTCACTTGCCTGCAAGACTGAGAATGGAGGAAGAAACCCCGGAAAGCTTTCGAGCTTCTTCCATTTCTGCGGTCTCTCCGCCGAAACCAAAATTACGGAAATAAAAGGCTGGACCTTGGTTTAAAAATATTGGACGTAGAAACTAGTTCGATGTCTTTTATAGGAACTTGCGAAAGTATTTTTTTTTTTTTGCGATTATCTTGGCAAGAATTTGTTTGCTAGGCCATTCTTTATTGTAATATTATAAAGAATGTTAAGTTCGTCGGATTTTCAATTTAAAATTTTTATATCAACATGTTTCTCGCTAGACACGTTGAAAAATTTTCAATTGTAGATGAGATATATCGTTTTTTTAGTAATTTGCATCATTCGTATTTTGTGCTCTAACATTCAATACAAAAGCACTAATTTCTATACTTGACACAGTGAATTTCTGAAATTTGCTTCTCTGCACAATATTTCCTGCTATCGTTAATCTTTCTGCAAGTGTGTACTACAAAAATCAGAGTTAAAAAATAAAACGATAGAGCTTAGCAACACTTAGAATTGATTCAGACTATAATTCTTAATTTCTCTATATATATATAAAAAAAAAAGAAAATTTCCCTTACTATTTTCAGCTATAGTCACACTATATTGTTGCTCTATTCTCATTTTGATACACATAGTGAAGAGCATAACTCAACTAATAAAACTATATAAAAGAAATTTGAAACAATCCACTTGATCTTATTTTATGGCATAGAACATCTACCATCTAAAATCCAAACAATTTTTTACAATATTGAAAAGTTTCTTTCGTGACTAGATCCATCATTTTGAGAAATGAAATCTCCTCTTTGCAACAAGTGATAAGAATTTGCCAATATCTTTGAAGCCCTGATATTTCAATTTAACGTTGGACAAAATAATGGAAAAAAAGTCATACAGCAATCAAATTTTAAGAAATCGTTGGAAAGAGGACATTTCATTCTTCAAGGCTATAATAATCTAGCTATTGGAAAGAAAGGCCAAATTATCCAGTATCCTGCCATCGTGATTAACCCCTTGCCCTATTTTGACGAGTCTGACTCGTGATGAAAATTTTAAGCCAAACTTGAACATCACGGGTCAGGCTCGTTGTCTAATTTCATGTCAAACGTGAATATCACGAGTCTGACA